GTGGGACAAATGGCCCCCTATGGGTGCTAGTGTATTCCAAAGGTGCCACAGATAAAAATCACTTATATTGGGAGTAAGGTATAAGTCATGGGGTCAACCTGTTGGACAAGGGGATAATAGGAAGAAAATAAGGTGGGGAGGGGTCTGTGGTTGGAAAAAGGTCAAGAAACAGCCTAAGCTCATGCACACACAATAAATCTACATATTCACTATAGAATAGATTTCAGATTATCTAATACTATTTCCAACAACTATTTTAATCTTTGTTTTCATGTATCCTATTATGTGATTCTGTTCCCATAATAAATATACACTGTTCTTTCCTCATAATAAACATAACACAAATGTGCTGAGTGACCTTTCTGAAGGGTGTAGTTGGAACCCTATGCGTTATTGATGCTCATCTTTTATAAGTGGTATCTGGCAGTGTTCCTGAGCCAGGCACCAGTTAACCTGGAGAGCCCCATTCTCAGCAAACAGCTAGCAAGAGTCTCAAGATAATTCTCTACCAAATGTGAGATCTCTCCCATTGGTTACCTATGGGATTAAACATGGGAGTATGGAAAAAATATCAAAATTGCTTCAATTATTTTAGACATCATACGTCCCCCAATATCCCATGTTTTATGAATTTTAAGACCTCTCTCACTTATTAGTGTGGTAGTTGATATTGAAAAAATATGTAAATATGTGTCATAGAAACATGAGCTAATTTCTTGTGAGAAATTGGCAAAAGGATAATTGAGATCATTGCCAAACACTTTTCGGATGTAAACTTCTAATCTTTCAGATTTTGAAAAGCAACATAAATCCTATTGTTTAATATATGTTAATGGTTTAATTATTATTCATTAAATGCTTAATTAATTTTATGAGTTAGTATAATGACTATGAGTTTGTAACTGCTCTATTTGGGTAAAAATAAATAACATCACTCTTGAACTTCTGATCAAGAGAAAAATATGTTACTGTAATGAGTGCTCTCTCCTCACAGTTCCCTATGTCTAGTACTATTTTCTCCAGTTTTTATTTACTGATATCTATTTTGCCATTGGTTCAAACAGCCTTAAGGCCATCCTCTCTGAGATATCATCTCTGTTCACTGGGAATTGAGTTAAGTGTACCTCCTTAAATGCTCAGGCATTTGGGCATTGTTACAAAATAGCATCTCCAGCTGAGAATCTACCAGAATCTGGAGATAATATTGTGGTTTATGTTCTTGAGTCTATTCATGCTGATAGTCAGCAATAATGGTAGGATCTGGAGTATCTACTGTAATGGAGGATGGTGCAGAATGATGTCTATGGTCTGAAAGAACAACTCTCAAACATCAGTGTATCTGAGATCACCCTGGCTGCTGGTCACATAAATTGTCCAACCTTATCTGAAATGTTCCTGATTTAGGAGATCTAAGATGGAGTGACAGCTTATATTCATGGATTTGCCAAGAGAAGTTCTGAACATAATCAATGTGCTGAACACCAGTATTCATGAGAACTGAGGTAGGGATTTAAAATTTTTTACCTCTGCTACTGATTATATGAAAGTAAGTGCAGTAGTTGTTGAAAATCCTGAGAATATTTTTCTGATAGTCCTGTGATCTGAATTTTATGACTTTTTTCTCTTAGGTGAGCCTTGTTATCATTAATTTTTAATATTATTCAACTACAGAGTGGTACAGCCAACATCCTAGCTGGATGTGCCTGTTTCACAGTTGGGAGACAATTTTGACTACACTTTAGTGTACTATATTTTTACATTTTACATTTCAGTAAAGTACACTGATTTGAACAGTTTGCATGCAAGGCAAATGCCTGAACTCCTGTGTTTTATTTATTATTTATTTACTTATTTATTTATCTTTGGCTTTTTAAAAAAAATTTATTAGTGAAACACCATGAGGTACAATTGTAGATTTTTTGTGCTTGGGTTTCGATTATACAATGATCAGATACTCATCCCTCCACCAGTGCCCATTTTCCACCACCATGGATAATATCCCTCCCACCCCCATCCCCCCTGTCCCACCCTGCCTCTGTGGCAGGGCAGTCCCTTTTGTTCTCTCTCTCCTTTTGGGTGTTGTGGTCTGCAAAAGAGGCATTGAGTGGCAAACATGTTCAGTCCATAGAATACTTTCAACATGCATCGCCCCTCCTGGGAGGATCCTCCAAACACCCTCTATTTGGTGGTTTTTGGATCACACCCAGAGATGCTCAGGGGTTACTCCTGACTCTGCACCCAGAAATTATTCCTGGCATTCTTGGGGTGGCCATATGGGATGCTGGGGATCGAACCCAGACCAGCCATGTGCATGACAAACACCCCACCTGTTTTACTCTCGCTCAAGCCCCCACAGATAAGATTTTGCATATAAAAATAGTTTTTGATTCACTGGCTTGATTAATACTAAAAAATGGGCTGTCACAGGTGTCAATTAAGTTATTCCAGATCATGTGAATTAAATAAAAATATTCCACAAGTGCCCTCCATATTTGTGTCAAAAGACAACAGAATAAATCCAGCAGGCTTTGTTCCTTTTATGTTTAAAGATGATGTCCTAGACAAATTCCTAAAACATCCTATGCCTTTCTCAAGGAATATTAGCTTTGTACAGACACTAAAACTCAGCCTTTGTCTCACAGGAATATTTCATGGAAGATGATGACAGGCATACCTCATAGCAAAGAGATTCAAAGTACTCTTGAACATTCTAAAATAAATTATGGAACGAACAATGCATGTCATGGCACGATGGCAGTGTGGATACAGAAAGGCAGGTATTTCCCCAAACTAGGGTGGAGAGTGAGAGGACTTAATTTCTTAAGAACTTAAGTTTTAGGTTCACATTTTGGGGGGTACTAAATAAAGTCCAAATTTATACTGAGAATGATTGCGATCATTTATGATCTTTTCTTCTGGATTTTGCTCTAAAACATCAAATGTAAAAGAATTACCATGCTAAGATATAGGGCAAGTAAGAGTTGGGAATCTGAACTTGGGTTTTGGCACTACATCTCCATTGTGTGTGTTTACTGATACAAATTGGAGAAGTAGAATGGTTAAAAGTTTGTACAGTATTTACACCACCTCTGAAGGTTAAAGTCAAAGAGGGTCAGAGAGAGGACAGTCTTGCATGTGTGCAACCTGGGGTTGATCCCTGGCTGTGGTGAATCTACCTATTTGTGGATTTAGGTAGGAAGTGACTATACTGAAGGAATAAGGAGAAACCGGAAATAGCCACTACTAGGGCTGTATTTCAAATTTGGATGAATGAACTCTTACAATGGGATTTTAGTAATCCTAGATGGTTAATGTTTTCAGATACTATTATCCACTAGACTAAGATAATAACCTCACTAGCTTGCAGTTATTTCTCCAACAGACACTGTAGTATGATATTGGGCCACAATAAAAAATAAGAAAGTAAAAATTTGAGATCTCGAGGAGAGATACAGTCCTGTATCAAATGTCGAGAGAACTCTACAGAGGAGAGTGATAGCAATAGAGCCATATGATAGAATTCTGTGAAATAGTGAACATAGGTGCACCTTAGAAGAGGTCTGCATTGTTGCCCAGTTGGTTTATAGAAGTCATTGTATCACTCTCTCACTTGAATGGTTTTATTGAGATCAATCTCAGCCCGACATCTGGACACTAGTTCATCCTTCTGGAAGTTTCTCTGGCTGGTCAAACACAAGTAGTTTAACTTAAATGGCCAATGAAGGTTCCCTTCAGAGCTCCATGGCCTTTTCTCACCTGACTTGGAAATCACGAAGGGTCACTCATTCCTTATGGTATTTAGTGAGAAAATCTTTTCATAATTATGCCTTGAATTGGACTGTTTACTTTTATAGGTTTCTGGCTGCATGTTATACATTTCAACTTAAAAGGCTGAAAACAAAAGTCAACGTAGTTATCTTAGAGCTGCTAGTGGAGTTATCAACATGGTCAGCCAAGGACTGGACACTCCTGACTAGTGCAGATTGAGTTTCTTACTACTCTCGGAGGCGTGGCTTTAGCTTTTGACAAACTGGCTCCGACCTTGCTGATTTTCATTTTTCTCACCGATATTTTACAGATTGACTTCGAACCAACTCAGTTGCTTCCTTATACTTTTTCATCATCCCCGTGATAAAGACAGTAAAGGCCCTGGAAAGATCCAGAACTTATGACAACATTCCCTTACAAGGTTAAGGGCACTTGGCCGAGGAATTTAAGAATCTTGAAATGGTGAGAATATTCTGGGTTATTGACATAGGTAATCACCAGGAGAGTTCAAGTGAAAATCCCAGAAGGGAAGTGAGGACGGAAACAGAGGTGGTGGGTTTAGCAGGTGGGAAGTCGCACAAGCTACAAGGACTGCAGTTGGTTCCAAGTTGACAAAGGATTTTTTTCCCCACTGGAGATTAAAGAAAGAATAAGTCCACAAACAATGGCATTAGTTCTATAAAATTCATTTTTAAACTCTTGACTTCCAAACGAAGGGGGATAAAAAGAATATTTGTGTTGTTTCAGGTTACCAAATTTGCGATACCTTTTATAGTGACAAAAAAATTCATTACAGTCTTTTCTTTCTTTCACTCATGACTTTTCTTACACTGTTTGGCTCTATTTGAAATGCTTCCCCGAAACACCCCGATTGATCCTACTGAGTGTTAAGGATAGAGTTCTGATGCTCTCTTCTCCCTGAAACCTTATTGTCTGGCCAAAAGTAACTTTTACTCCTCAACAATACTAGAACTCACAGTAGCACTGAGATTCCACTGGTTACCCGCACCTTAAGGGAACTGAGGCTGAGCTTCTGCATTCTTTTCACTTCACGGATCCTGATCAGAGAACTTAGACCTATTTGTCATGTAGGTTGTTGAATTACATGCTGATGCTGTAGTAACAGAATATGGCTTTCAAGTTCTTTAAAATACTTTCCATAACAGTATTTCCATAATAATAAAGGTAGCTGTTAGTTTGCATAAAACACAGAAAAGTAAATGGGAACATACATTTGCAACTTCATATGATCCGTTTAATATCTGGTCCATGTAATGATTTAGATCTCTGAATCTTTTGTGATCTGAATTTGTAAAAGGTAAGTGCCACCAATGAGGAAACCTGTTTGAAAAGAAACAGAATGCTCTCATTAGGTTGAACATTAGCGTTTGTGAACTGGTTCATGAGTTTACAGGCTGCATCAGATAGAAAGGCCAAAGAAAATTTTAAAAAATATGTACCATTGTGGAACACATGATTAACTGTGGGTTTTATTAACATGCCTTTGATCATTTGGGATTTTTTTAAGTGCCATTAATTTTGATACTAATTTAATTGAATATGTTTCTTCATATTGTTTTATGAAAGATGACACATTCCTGCTTTATATACTTGTGGGCTTAATAAATTTCTTCTGAAGTTGATGATTTGTAATTTTTTAAAAAGGTCAAATTTTATTGTTTTTTTTTGGGGGGGGGATTCGCTGGAGACATGGCTACTCTAAAGGAATTAAACATTTACCAAGTGACAGATGCTTCCATCTGGTCTTCCTCTTTGGAATCAAGTAGCAATTTCCCAAGGAGCTCGACTTACATAGCCTCCTCTCTCCTCTCTGATGATTCATCTTGATGGCTTACATGAGATTCTTGTTTTTGGTGTGTGTGAGGTGAGGGGGTGGGGGGAGCGGTACAATCTGTTTATGGTAAATTGGCAATACATTTTTTTGCTGGTTAAATATATATTTTTAGGGACTTTCTGGCAGCTTTGTTTGTAGGTCTGCTGCTTCCTTCATGCTTCTGTTTCTTGGTCTAGGTGATGGACATGAGGCACAGAAAAAGGTCATTCACAAATCCACGTTGTAACAACCTAGGCCATCTCATCCATTCATTCTTGTTGGAAATGTCAGGGAAGTCAAAACTTCTTTGCCTGTGTATTTACATAATTGGCATTTTAAAGTTTTTAAAGGTCTCCTACAGCTCTAAGGCTTAAAATATTACCATTTTAACCCATATTTGTCACAGAAATTAGTATACTACACAATCAAATCCTAGAATGTCTTTGATAAATAGTTGGGTTGGTTGAAAATATTAATTTGTATGGGAGTGGATAAATATCCCCTATTTTTAGAATAAAATGGAGTTCAGGGGCCAGAGAGATCTCACTGTGAGCGAGATTTGCATTGCATGTGGCAGACTAGGTCTGTTCTATATGGTTCCTTCCACACCTCCAGGAATGAGCCTGGAATGCAGGATAAAGTGGAGTTTAAAATCAAGTCTAATCCTTCTTTGACATTTTGGAAGATGTATGTATGGGAACTAAAAAAATCTATATAAACAAATACTTGAGTACTGAGAAATTCAGCCATAATAAAGGCATTGTGTTGTCCAAAATTGTGTTACATGCCAATTACAGAGCATCACTATTTGAAGCTTTTCCCACTTCCCTTCCCTTTATTATAGTTGTTTCAGTCTCTGGTGCTCACACATTTAGTTGTGGGGAACCTGGGGTCACACACTTGTGGTATCAAAGGTTACAGTGGAGGTGAGGAGATCAGTTTGCAGTTGGCAATGCAGGTGGAATCGGGGATAGAACTTGTAGTCTCATGGATTAGAGGCAGATTCTTTACTATTGAATTACATTCTAGGATCTTTATAATTTAGTTTTTATGATCCCTTGTCTAATAGGGGCCTCCCAAGTGGTACCCAAGAGGCTGGAGGAGCTACTGGCTATTCTCAGCTAGACGGTTCGATGCAAGGACCTAAGAATGAGATGCTGCTGGGACCCAACAGGATTACCTGGCCTGTACCTAGAAGTGTTGGTGGACTCCAGGGCTGCTCAAGCGATGATCTAGGGAATCATATGGTGTTGGAAATTGAACCCAGTTGGGCATATTCTAGGTATATTTGCTAATCACTGTACTACTTTCACTGTAATACTTTTCACAATCTTTTATCAGACAATTCATGTTTTTCCTCAGTTTCATTTGGAGCAAAGATTAGAAAATATGTGACTTCCAAACAGATTCAATACTTAGGAATTAAGAAAATTGATTTTCTCAGTTCCTTGTCTGTTTTTTTTTTCTTTTTTTCTTTCTTTTTTTTTTTTTTTGCTTTTGGGTCACACCCGGTGATTCACAGGGGTTACTCCTGGCTCTGCATTCAGGAATTACCCCTGGCAGTGCTCAGGTAATTAATTACTCAGTGCTCAGGGACCACATGGGATGCTGGGAATCAAACCCAGGTTGGCCGCGTGCAAGGCAGATACACCCTATCCGCTGTGCTATTGCTCCAGCTCTGCCTTGTGTGTTTTTAATGTGCCCTTTTGTCTGGTTCTCTGAGGTATATAATTTCTGGGACAATGAACCAAATCAAGATTCTAGTGGTAGGGAGAAGAATAATGGTAGAGGTAGAAGAGGGAAAGGAAATCATTTTTTCCCCAAGCAAATTAACTTTAAAGGAGACCATTGATTTTTAAGGAAGATGTCCAAGCTTTCATTCTCTTGGAAGGTGCCCCGAAGTGCACAGACCTCTGTAGATGCTCTTGCCAATTTGACTTTTATTTTCTGTGACTCTTAACTTTTTGATCATACATTCCATACAGGGTTTACATAATTCTTGTAGGGACTCTCAGTAAATTGAAGAGTCAGAGGAAATCTTGCCCTCATTCTTCATTTGTATGTATTGCCCTGCCTTCAGCTTAATTTAGCTCCTTTGGGACTGTCGGCATGAAAATACTGTGCAGGGCACATGAATGTTCCTCCTCTTCACCAATTGCTTGTATAGTTTTAAAACCAATTAGTTACCATTATCAGGCAGTAATTGTTGAGCAAAGCAGAATCTTAATTTGAGCTGAAAATTGAGAAGATGCATCTATGTAGTGAGAGATTATGAGTACTTTTGATGTATCATAAGTTCTGCTAATGTAACAGAAAGATGAAAGTATGCACAAAGATGTTTTTGAAACCAAACAAAGGACAGCCATATTACAGGGATTTAATTTATGTATCTCTAAACCATTAATTCTATAGGCATGTTGGCAATCGTTGATGTTGTATTGCATATTTATAGCCAAATTTTGAAACTTTTCCCCCAGCATCTATTATATTTTAAAAATTTTTGTTAAAAAATTAATATTTTAAATTTTTTAAATGAAAATTTAAAATTACTGCTGTTCTTTGGTAATTTTTAAAGTTAACATTGCATTCATCACCCCTTTCCTTCACTCTAATTATTTTGAATATGCTCTCATTTGTTGGCTTCCTAATGTGCAAAACATTTGTATTTCAAACTCTTGTGACAAATGAAGTTTTTGGGTTTTTTTTTTTTGGTGCTATCGCTCCTTTTTGGTGAACATGAACAACCTGACCTTTATTGCTGTGTCTCTCCATCCTTCTATAACAGCTTGAATTTATAATTTTTAAAGTAACTATACCCTGGAAATCTAGTAAAAACCCTCATATTCAAAGTATGTCAAGTCAGTGTGAGTGTTTGTATCATTAAAGGGCCATTGATTGAACACAAATACTAGTGTGAAGAGAACAATTTAGATTTGCTTAGAATTTGTAGGGAGTTCACCTTTTCAAATCAACAGAAACCTTTGCTCAACTCTAAAGTCTGTGACCTAAATTTGTGTAGTTCCAAACAATGCATTATGGAAAGTTATTTGAATAGAAATTATTGCCATTATATTTTTAGTTTGCTTATGTTTAATTTATTTTTCCATAATAACATGGTAAAAGTAATGGTTTACAAGAAAACTTCAGGGTGAACATACTAACAAATTAAATTTAGTTAATTCAAGTCAAAGTTAAGGATAAATGACAGTACTGTGAAATTGCTTTTGATAAATTTTACAATTGTACAGACTTACAGAGTACTTTTTCTGGTCTAGAGAAGAAATAGATATTAGCTATTTATCATAATTACTTCTTGAAAGTGTAGACCTAACCAAATTGGTTTGCACATTTAAAGTTTTACTTTTACAGAATAAAACTTTTTTTTAAAAAAAGCAAGTAAAAAATGATTTGACCAATAATTCATGAAGAAGTGTACTTTTGTGCCTGTGAAATTGATTGAAAGAGGGCAAACTGAAAATTGCAAACTTGGTCGGGTTTAATGAGACCAAAGGTTCTTTACTCTGAGAGCAATATAGACACTACTGGGACAGGTGCAGTGACATTTGAGTCAGAAAGCTGTATGGGTCACAGTAGAAACACCCCAGAACCATTAATTCTTTCCTTCTGCTCAAGGACAAACACCGCGGAGAGCACTGTCACTTACTCAGGCAGAGTCTCTGATGCAAACTGCTTCTGAAGGTGATTGTGGAGTTTAGAAAACTGATCAAAGGATTTTTCCGTCAGGCTTGTTTCGTTGTGACCGTGGAGCACCTGGATAAGATACAGCTGTGGAAAAGAGAGAACAATAAGAGGATGGCATTATCAAGCTGTCAGCTATTCTAAGATGAATAGAAAACAAAGGAATCAAGAACCTTTCTGCATAATAGGATTCTAACACCTAAGGACAGTAGAGGGGGTCAGGAGAATCATTCCAAGGCTTGGAAGCCGGTCTCACGTGCGGGGAGAAAAGGCAGCTGGGATAGAGAAGGGATCACTAAGTAAATGATGCTTGGAGGGCTCGCTCAGGATGACAGATGCTGCTGAAAGTAGACTATGGACCAAACATGATGACCTCTTAGTACCTGTATTGCAAACCGTAACACCCAAAAGGAGTGAGCGAGTAAGAGGGAGTGTGCCTGCCACAGAGGCAGGGGGTGGGAAAGGATGGGGATGACAGGAGGGATACTGGGATCATTGATTATGGAGAATGGGTGCTGGTGGAGGGATGGGTGCTTGGTCATTGTATGACTGAAACGTAATCACAAAAGTTTGTAAGTCTGTAACTATCTCACAACGATTCGTTAAAATAAAATTTTAAAAAATTCTTTCTGCAAAAATGTCCACAGAAGTTTGGAGACTGAATGAGTGGAGTGAGAGTGACCAATGAACACGGTGTAGCGACCACACTCGTGTGAGGGCAACAGCATGCCTCTTAGCTGGTGCTCTTCCCTTGTGAACATTTTCCTCAGCATTTGAGTTACCTTCTAGCACAGGGTGGAAACTGTTCTCTTGGATGATTGTCTGTCTTAGCTGTGGTTGTTAGAATTTTTCCCTAGAAAATGTTTGTTAGAGGCACCACTGCTCAAAATGAAATGATGTCTTATTTGCCAGTGGAAAAAAAAAATTAAAACACAGTGTAGAGGAAGAGGAGGCTTACACTCATAGTGAAAGGCAGACTCAGATGATGCCAAGAAACTTAAGTCAGGATGACAGATTTGACACTTACATGACTGGTTTTTCTGCTGAACCCCAAAATTATTGCTCTTTGAATTGTCCTGGTGGCACCCAGCGGGTGGGATTCCTGGGTGAAAGTGTGCGAAGTAGATTTTGCAGGGGTTATTGCCGTCATTTGTGCAAGAGTGTGGATCAAATTATTCAATTTTACAGGGAAACACTCCAGACTTTCTTTGATTTTCCTAGATGAATGTAAAAAAAATAGATATTAAATAACCTTCCTCTGAGTGGGATCATTTGATTTATTTCTCATTATGATTTATTTCTTTGTTTGTTACATATGTAGGAGTCAAGGCCATTTATGTTCTTTGGAGTCCAACTTTTAAACATTATTTTCATAAACTTCAAGTTCACATCTTGAGTTAATAACTAAAGAAATCGTGATGAAATATAAAACTAATTGTAATATGTACTTAAAAGTAGGTTTCTTTTGTGCTTTTAAGGATGCTTTAAAACTTAAATTTATTTATAATTACCTCAAGTATTTATCTAATTTCAGGTGTTACAGCTATAAAATAATTGAGCTTTAAAAATACATTGTAAATTTTTGCATTCTCCACCTTATTCCTTCTCTCCCCCTCTTGTTAATTTTTAAAACTTAAATGCCATTTTTTAAAAAATTTAATCTGTGTATGTTTTTATTGTCAACTATTTTACAAAGAAGTTAAAAATATATTTGATGTGTATTTTATGTAGAAATTCTTTTATAATGTGGTCTTTAGCTTTTGCATTTCTGCTTTACCAAGAATGACTGTAGCTGTGTTCTACTGGCATATTTTTATATGATATCTTTTATTCCTTTATTCCCCCATTTTCAAAATTTGGTCTGCAATGTCATTCTTTTTATAAATACTGTTTAATAGCACAAAACTAAGTATGTAAATTATTTTCATTTATGCTTCCTACTTGATTTCTATTTATATTAACTTATTCTATCTGCCTCATATAGTTTATATGCATTCACGTTGTACCATCTCTTTTATTAAACCTTAAACTCTGAACCATTTATAAAGTCCATTTGCTTATTTGAATCTCAGTCTCTAAGTGACTCTGGGAGCGAAACATGTTTTTGAGTTTTTCAGTGGTGATGACAATTTATATTTCTGTTTGAAAGTCAGTTTAGCTAGATATTACATCCTTGGATTAAATTTTCCATTTTGAGTACCATTAGATATCCCACTTACTTTTGAAATCTAGGGGACCACACAAAATTCTGATGAGATACAAGACTTTTTTCTCTTAAAAGACTTATTCTTTTGTCTTGCTACTTAGACAAAGCTTCTTTTTGTTTTATTACATCTTATCACTGTATCACTGTCATCCCATTGCTCATCAATGGCTTGAGTGGGCACCAGTAACATTTCCATTCATCCCTGTTGCGTGGCAGTGTAGCCCAATGGCACCTGCTCACTCTAGGAATATGAAGAGCACGTTGTTGTTACTGTTTTTGGCTTATCAAATACGTCACAAGTAGCTTGCCAGACTCTGCCATACGAGCGGGACATCCTCAGTAGCCTGCCATGCTCTCCGAGAAGGGTGGAGGCTTTGAGCTTATGTAGCTGAGCCAGAGGTGGTTTGTGGGTGTGTCTCCCACATACCTAACTTTTGGCCATTTAATTTCTTGATAAACTTGGCCCCAAGGTGTTGGGGTCTGGTCAAAGGTATAGCAGCAATTTGTGGGTATCTGGAAGTCCGAAGGCACCATCAGGCTGCTGATGCACTCTCCCCATGGGTACAGGTTGACCTGCATTCTATAGATTTGTAAAATATGTTTCTGAGGAATGGAGCAATAAAACAGTGGGTCAGGAGCTTCCTTTGCTTATGGCTTATCTTATTGCTTATCTCTGAACCCTCCAGGATTGATCCTTGAGTACAGAGCCAAAAGTGGTCTCTGACCACTGGTGGACATGCTCCCACTACAAATGCCCAAAATGAGATAAACTATGCAATATGTGCTTTCAATATGTAATTGCAAGTCTTTGGGTTTCCAGAATTTTAAAAAATTATGTTAGAGCACACTAACGCACTAAATATACAGTTCAGTTTTGGGGCCATTTTAATGTATCACTTGGGTTTTTCTTTTTTTTTTTTTTCTTTTCAGGACTTCAATTTTATCTGCGGTAACTTTTCATTATCTTTATTTACATTTTTTGGTCACACCCGGTGATGCTCAGGGGTTACTGCTGACTCTGCACTCAGGAATTATTCCTGGTGGTGCTGGAGGTGGGGGAGGGCAGAGAAAGGGCCGGGGGGTGGGGGGGAGATTGTGCATATGGGATGCCAAGTTGCTAGTTGAGCCTCCTGTCTTATTGCTTTTATTCACTGAGCTAGTGGCTTCTATGCTATTTTCCCATCTCATATAGCGGGACCCTACCGGGCTGTCTGCATCATGGCATTGGGAGGTGTGGCTTCAGGCTATGTAGAACTGAGCTGAGAAATTTCTGCAGCTGGACTTGGCTTGCGTTTCTCCCCAGAAGAGGGGTGGATCTGTGAAGCTGCCCTAGGTGACAGAGCTCTGGGATGTGAGTGTGGCTGCTGAGGCATCCAGCAATACTCAAGGTACCAGGGGGAGGCTGCCCACCCCCTCTCTGATAAGACCCTAGAGTTTTCATTGGGAAAACCAGCCTACCTGGAATGTTTTGTTGGCTTGGCGTCTGTGCAGAGATTAGCTGTGAGGCAGTCTAGCTGGATGATTTGTGTGACTTTCATAGGAGGTGGTTGTAGGATATGGGTGCTGTTGCAGGCAGGGAGTCATTTAGGCCTCTCCCAAGAGCACCCCAGAGCTTCCAGCCTGAAGACTGTGTAAGTGAAGTTATGGGTCCCTGGTTGCATTGCTTCTGGAATTAGTAATGAAGCTGTGAAGCGGGGCCATTGCCTACTTGGTGATGGCTGGGAGACTTCAGGCCTATTTATTTTCTAAATTTTTTTTGGAGGATTTATTTCTTTAACAGCTGAAAAGTTTCTGCAACAATACATTCAAATTCTTCCCACCCCCTTTTCTAGTTACAAAGACCAGTCTTTCCTTAGGGGTTTAGCTTAGTTTAACAGCAAGTTTCTTTATATGCACAGGTTCACTTCTGGCCTCATTATTCTGGTGTACTATGTGCTTGTCTATACCTGTCCTTGGAAGCTCTAAATAGCCAGAAAATTTTATAAATAAATAGCTTGAAATCTGTAGTTCTCTACCTGCTTCATCTTCAGGTATTGCTTCACTGTTTTAGCCGTAAGACCTTCCAGATATGATTTTAAAAATAATCTTATTAAAATGATTTTATACACAGAGTAACTGTATAAGGCTTTTTATGGGGACTAAAATGAAATTGTAAATCAAATGTCTATGGATAGAGTCAGGTACTCTGCAAATGATGACTTTTAGGGTCATCCCAACTTCCAATTCAATGAAGAATAAAAGTGATAATAAGTATTTTTGCCTTGTTGCTAATTAAAAAGGAAACTTTTTAAGTTTTATATTAATTATGCTATTTTTTATAGATTTTTTGAGTAAGGATTAAGGATATCCGTTTTCCCTCTATGTTTACTAGTTTATAAGAATGAAAAAATAAATATGCCTCTGTGCTCACAGGTGATTGCTAGTGGTACTCAGAGAATAGTGTGGAATGGCATTGATTTGAATTGCAGTCAGCTTCATGCAGGATAACCCTCTTACTCCCTGTAATGCTCCACTAAGTTATACAGATTTTACTAACTACATTTTCTAAATTGACTATATCACAATTTTTTATTTTTTTCACATCTGAATCTTGAATGTTTGCCTTATAACCACTTGCTTTACTGGACTATTATTTCATCTTATAAAAAAAATTCTCTGAGCTTTCTTTATTACTATATTATTCGATTGAAAAAATAATGATATATAAAGATTAAGTGTACAACTTCACTCTTAATATAGAGGTATTTTTTCCTGACACTAATGATAATGTCAGTCTCTTTTTCACTTTTAAAAGTATGTGGTCTACAAACATGATTGCCTCCTTCGCAAACCACAGCCCCCAATAAGAGAGAGAGAACAAAAGGGAATGCCCTGCCACAGAGGCAGGGTGGGATGAGGGGATGGAGGGGTGGGAGGGATACTGGGATCCGTGGTGGTGGGAAATGGGCACTGGTGGAAGGATGGGTATTTGATCATTGTATAATTGAAACCCAAGCACAAAAATTAGTAAATCTGCAACTGTACCTCATGGTGTCTCACTAATAAAAATTTAAAAAATAATAATAAAATAAAATAAAATAAAAGTATGTGGTCTATATTTTCTTCTACTCTGAGTTCACTAACATTTCTAAAAGGAATTTAATTAAGGATTACACTTCTGGGCTGGGTTCTATAAAACTTGCTATGCAACGACTTCCTTAAAACTAATCTCCATGTTCTCGATGTTAACAATGTAGTTCAATACTGTTTAATAATCCCCCCCACACACTTTATAAAAATTCAAGCCCATTTATCTTCTCCTGATCTTCAACTCTTTTGAATAAATTCCAAATTTTCCCATTATGGCACATCAATCTGGGCCAAACTTTGCGAAGAAAGTTAAAAGATGACTCTGATCCCATTATTCATTTCTAAAATGTTCATTATTTCTAAAGATGTTCTTTGAATTTATGGGAATGGAGTGGGGTGCAAAACATCGATTTCTTCCTCACCTCACCAGTCCCTTAAAGATATGAAGATAACAGTAATAGTAGGCTTATAATAATACGAACCGTGATTTATGGAGACCCTACCATCCATTTATACATTCATTCCACAAATATTTACATTTTATGTGTGGAGTGAAATGCACCAAAGTAACAGCCTGCTCTGCTTCACATGATGATAGACCTTGCGCCGTAAATCTTAACATGTGCAAGATATCTACTGTGTTCATGCCTCTTCTTACATTGTCCAATTTTTAAGATGTCAGAAGGCTGGAGATGAAGGATGAACTTTTACAATAAGCCTGTCATTTGGGGCAGACTCTGACCTAAATCCACCTTTCATATCTCAGGTGACAGCCTTAACAGGTCAGTCAAAAGAATGCAGTTCCATATGACTCACCTTGGGACTAGGATGCAGAGGATTTTAGGCTCTGAAGTGATCTGATTTCTCCAGGTGGCAACAGTCTGATATATTTTATTTAATGGGAGTATCAGCAGGAATGTGCTTGGCAGTACCCATATGCTA